CACGGGGTGGTTTTGCCACGGGGGCCCCAGAATCGCACAGTTGACGATTCTGGAGCTTCCACCCCCACCCTGTGGCTGTCCCACCCCGTGGCTGTCCCACCCATGGGGTTCTCTGCAAATCCCCGACACGGCTCATCTCAGGTGACACCAAGACGCTGCGGCCTTTGCCCCTGGTCACCCTGACCCGTCCCCTGTCCTTTAAGGAAGCTCTGTGGGGAGGAGCCAGCGCCAGGCTTCCCGGGGCAGGTCAAACTGGACACACATCTGCCCCACAGGCACGAGGCAGCTGCAGCAGGTGAGTCACTCCCCGGAGCGGGCAGCGGCGCCAGGTCACATGGCACCCCTCCTCCCGCGTCACCCCTCGGCACAGCTCTGTGGCTGCACCTCCTTCAGTAGCCGCCGGCTCCCCTCCCTACTCCTCACTGCCCACCCACCAGCTACAAGGCTGGGCCTGTCCAGACTGGGTTCACTCCCGTGACCAGCTCCTCACCCCTCTCCTCCAATCCCCGGGACAAACCCCACCGCGCTTCCCACTGCGTTCACCCTGGCTGTAAAGGGTTAGTCCAGGATACTTGTTCCCACTGGGTGGGTGATTGTGCCCCCCAGGGCACGCTGGGCAGCATCTGGAGACGTTTCTGGTTGTGGCAACTGAGGGGTGTGCTACCAGCCTCTGGTAAATAGAGGCCAGGTGCCGCTCAATGTCTTACAGTGCCCAGGACAGCCCCTGCGACAAGCAATCATCTCAGCGTCCCGATCACCTGTTCCCAGCTCCGCCTTATGCCTGGGACCCTGGAAGCTCCTCAAAAGCCTAAGAAGCCAACTCCCCGGTGGTTCCTGGAGTCCAGCTCCCAAAACCTGCCCAAACCCCCTTTTCTTCCTGGGAGAGAGAGAAGATAGGCCCTAAGGGCATGAGCTGGCACACAGCAGAGGCATGACGCACGGCGTTGAATGGCCAGAGGAAACCAGACCTGAAATCCCTCAAGTGGCAGAGCAGCTAAAAGCATCAGACTGTGGGTTTAAATCCTGGCTTTGCCACTGTGGGACTTAAGGGAATGGCTCGCCCCCTCTGTGACTTGGGTTTTCCCTTTGGTCCGGTAGGATGGTGCTGATAATGAACCTGACTCATAGGGTTGTTGCAAGGGTTAAATTTGAGTTAGTGTTTGAGGGTTAAATTCAAGAGTTTTTTCAAGCTCTTAGGGAAGTGCCTGGCACATAGTAAGTGCTATGTAAGTACATATGGTTTTTAAAAAATGATTGACACTCTGTTTTTAGGCTCACAGGCGTAAGATGGGGGTGGAGGTATACGCCTCTTCCTATTCTCATGTGCTCCAGACAGACGCCCAGCCCAGCCTGCAGGATCCTTTGGACAGAGAGAGTGCCCAGTTCCCCCCAGCCACCAGCCGTGGACCAGAGCTCAGCCAGTGCAAGCCTCTTCTACCCTGTTCAGCCTCCCACACTTTAAATCCCCTGGCTGGGGTCTTCAAGAAACCCCGGCTGACCAAGGCAAGGACCCAGGCTTCCCTGATTAGCTGTTTTTCCAAGGTCAAGGCTGGGGAGTGGGCAGCCAAGCCAGGCCTGAGCCTGAAGAAGCCCTGCCCAGCAGGCAGGGAAGAAGGGCCCGCGCGCCTCTGGGTCTTACCCATAAATGTCCACGAGGGTCTCCACGCCAGCCACACACACGGCGCTGGTGGGATGCTCCAGGGACACACGCACCATCCTCTGCAGCGACATGGTGGCCTTGGACTGGGCTACCGCCACCAACCCCAACACTGCCCCAGAGGCCCTTCACGATGTGGTTTAAACATCCCTGGCCCCGCCCCTCCCGCTCAGGGTGCTAGCTCATTGGCTCCGGTCCTGGAAGCCCAGCCTCCTCCCCAGCCGAGAGCTCAGGATTGGCTGGAAGGGACCCAATATTTGCATATGCACCTGTTGCCCCCACGGCAGCAGCTAGGGAGTTAATTTCTTGCTCTAAGTCCCCACAGATACCTGTCCAGGGCACCGCAGACTGGTGGGGGCGGGGGAGGAGGATGTACAGAGATGTATAGTCTTGATCTTGGACCCGTCCTATCCCTGACCCCTTTTTCCCGGCATTTTCAGAGACACCATGGTTTAGCTGGGAGCTTCCCAACTCCGCTGGGGCAGCAGGTGAAAATGCAAATTTCTAGGCCCTGCTCCAGGCTGACGCAGCATGTTGGGGGTGCCTCCGGCATCTGGATTTTTTACAAGCACCTCAAAGGATTTTGATGCCTTTTGAGAAACACTGACTTATTTTTATTTTATTTATTTATTTTTTTGCATGTATTTTAAAGGCAGACTTGGTTTTAGCCCTGCCTCAGCCACTTCCTGGCCGGGCAACCTTGGGCAAGTCTCTTCATTGCTCTGTGCCTCACTTTCCCGTCTGAGCAATGGTTGCTGAGCAAATGGGCCAAGGTTGGCAGAGCTCTAGGATGGGGCTTGGCATTGTCGAATTACTATTGTGGGTATTATTATTATTAGATGCCAAAAACCTCTGAAAGAGGTCGACGATGAGGGTGAAAACCCTCCCCAGCCAGGGGGAGTTTAGAATGTCAGAGTAGGAAGGCTTACCCCTCAGGTGGGGAAACTGAGGCCAGGGGTGGCATTTGGGCACCCGAAACAGCAGGAACAAGGGCTCTGGGGAGAGGAGGAGTCTTGGGTTCAGAGCCAGGCTCCACCGTGCACCCACGATGCAGGGTAGGGGCAATGTCTCCTCTCCGGGAGCCTGAGTTTCCTCACCTGTAGAAAATGCAGCTAATCACTGGCCCCGGGAGAGATAACAGCGGATGCACTCCACGGGCAAGGGCCCAGAATGTGCTGAATAAAGGCCTCCTCCCTCCTCCCTCCTCCCTCCTCCCTCCTCCCTGGCAGTGCTAACACTCCGGGCGGGGTGGGGACCAGGACCCGCTCCCCAGCATCCCCAGCTCAAGGATCTCAGCAGGACCCTGAGACTGTCGCTCCTGGGTCCCAGTTTCTAGGAAGCACGTTCTCTTCAAGGAGAGCCGCTGGGCTGCTGGGTCAAGTGACAGCTTCACTTTTCTCAGTTGTACAATGGCTTGGTGACTCGCTGAGCTATGGGTTAGAGTTCAAACTCAGGAGGAAGACCCATGGTCTCCCTAACCTGCTTGTGAGCACAGCTGGGGAACAGAAAGAAAGCCGAGGCTCCCCCTGGGCACTACCAGCCTCCTGCTCAGAGCCCTTTGTCTCTCTTGGAAGGAGACCCATGCCTTCACTTCTCCCCCGTTAATACCAGCTTTTAGAAACAGGTCTGTGTCTCATTCAGACTAAAGTGTCAATGACGTATGGGCAGCAACTTTTTCCCTCTCAGTCCACAACAAAAGCTAAAATGAAAAAAATGAGTGAATGAGTGCCAAAGGGTGTAATCTGAGGCAGCAGTAAGTGTGTAAGATGAAAAGGGGATATGTTTAGGCCTTGGAATCAGACCACTGAGGCCAGGTAACTTAGAGACACTTTAAAGGCACAAATGGAAGGGAACTGGGGTGGCCTGTGGTCGTGGGCACTGCCTCTGCCAACAGGGCCCAGCTGCCTCCCCTGACCTCTCTTTGGCGTCCTTAGAGATGGAGGTGGCCCCGGGGAAGGGAGAAGAGAGGAAGAGGCAGGACCCGTCCCTCCCGTGGTGCCCATCTCAGCAGGACCCGTCGGCCCCAGGGCAATGGGCATGTGCCGCCGTCCTGCTGAGTCAGCCTGCCTGCCCGGCGTGGCCTTGGCACTGGGAGGCTGTCCCTGCGGGTAGGGGCTGCCAGTGCCAGCAGAGTGAGGCCAAGGAGCTGGCGGCCAGGCTGGACTGGAAGCAGCCCCCACTCACCCCCACCCGCCGCAGCCCAACAACAGAGGCCAACGAGGCAGTGCTTGAAATGCTTGCTGACATCTTTTATTGATCAGAAAGGGGGTGACTGGTCACCCAGGACATTCTCAGAGTGGACACCAAGGCTGCCCCAATGACTCCAGAGCTTCCTACACTCAGTGTGGCTCAGAAGGCTTGTCCCCCCCCCAAACCCCCATCTCTCCCCCACACCCACCCCCTCCCACCTACAGCTCCTTCCCTGGGGAGACCCAACCCCCGCCTCACACCCTCGGCCCTGAAGAGCCTCCTGCTCCTCCCTCTTGGCTCAGCCTGGCTGCATCGATCCTAAGCAGAGGGGGCTCAGCTAACGCAGGAGTTTGCAAATGGGGTTCTGCAGAACCTTCTGGAAGGGGAGGATCCAGGTCCTCCCCTCCCCCCCTTAACCATAAGCCTCTGTTTGCTCAGTGTTCTAAGGCTAAGAGTGACAGTAGCTGGCTCAGTCTGAGCCAAGAGCCACCAGAAACCCAGACAGGCAGAGGAGCCCCGGGAAGGGCCCACAGGTAGGGAGGAAGGAGGGCACGCTGGCTCCCTCCTGCCCAGCCCACCGGCCTGCGCACATACCTCACCCAGGGCTGTTAGCCTCCCGAGGCAGCTCTGTCTTCCCTACTGTGGGAGGGGACACGGGCCTGCCACGGGTTTACTCAGAAGTGAAACCCAAGCTACGCTGCTGGGTCCCAGGGTGTGAGAGAGACAGCGAGCCTTCCCCTCCCACTGCCTGCAGAGGAAGGGGGATAATTAAAGGCTATTAAAGGAAATTAAACCCCACCTGCAGAGATAACTTAATGCCCCCCACCCTCTTCTCACATCTGGGCCCCGTCCCCTGCTACATCTGGAACAGCCGGCTGGCTTCAAACCCACAGTCCTCAACCCAGAGCCCAGGAACCCGGGACGCAGAAGCCTCTAGGCCCCGAGATCTGCCCTCCGTGGGCACTGGGCCTCCTCTGCCATCTGGCCGTCCCCTCCTGCCTCATCCTCCTGAGTGTCCCCAGGCCTGATGTGGCCTCTAGCACTTTAGAGCTGGCAGCACCAGCTCCGGTAATTAAAGGTTTCCCCGGCAGGTAACAAGCACCCTGCTGAGGACAGAGTCAGGTATTAAAGGGGATTTTGTTGTCTTGTTTTCTTTTTTTTTCTTTTTAAAATAGGCCCTGGGACACTGGGTTTTCCTGTCCTTGTTTGGCTGCATGCAGCTGAAGTGCACTGGGAGGGGAGTGGGGTCCATAGCTTTGGGTCCCATTTGGGAGGAGAAAGGGGGTGGAGGAAGAGGAGGGCTCTGGTCTCCCCTCAGTCTCAAGGGAGCCAGAGGCAGCCTGGAACCCGGCCCCCACCCTGGAGCGCAGGCCCTGGGGTTGGGGGGCAGGCAGTTATTACCCGTGTGCCCCAGGGAGGTGACAGGATGGGGGAGTGATTCAAAGCGGGGTCCGCCCGCCCAGGCCCTCTCGGGGGCGTTCCAGGGCTGCCGGGCTTCTCCAGACCCTCTGGGGCTGCGGGTGTGAAAGAGGAGCGGGAGAATGAGGTGACTCCTTCTCAGGCTGGGCAGGCCACTCCGGAGGCGAGGACGGGCGGCGGCCGTCCCTGTGTCCCAGTGCCCACGGTGACCAGCAGGTTTGCAAAGCGCCAAGGCCCCCCAAGAGGACGGAGGCCAGGAGGGCGGGGTCCCCCGGGCCAGAGGACAGAGAGGACGGCAGGCGGGCGCCGGCTCAGGGCACCATGTTCCACCACTTGAAGGGAAAGGGCTTCCGGCGCACGTTGGTGCCGCAGTGGATCTCCCCGGACAGCTTGTGGTAGGACAGGTAGTCGTCGATGAAGGCGCAGCGGAGGCCCAGTGGCTCCAGCAGGGACCGCACCTTCTCCTCCAGGCAGCAGCGGCCATTGATGATGGGCCCATAGGGCTTGGGGATGCCCAGGTGCTTGCCCAAGACCACCATGTTGACCTGCAACGGAGAGAGGCAGGAGGGAGGCGGGCTGGCTGGGAATGCCCATCCCCTGCGCCCCTTCTGGGCTCTGGCTGCTGCCCGCCCATCCCCAGGGCCCGTCCCGTTCTCGCCAGCAGTCCTGGGCTGCCGGGACTGGGGCTCGCTCAAGAGGATCCATGGAAGCAGAGAAGACACAGATTCAGGATTGGAGGGGAGGATTAGTAACAGCCAGGGCTGCCCCAAAGTTACCTACACAGTAACTTTGCATGAACCAAAGTCACCCCTGCCTCCAACACTTCCTTCCGTCTATCAGAAAATTGTCACATTATAACGACTTTGCTAGAATAAGAGAATGTATTGTCATCTGCCAGAAACTTGTCCAACAAATATGCACATCTATAAAGTCTATGGCGTGAAAGTCCTCGTAAGTGTGGTGTGCTTGCGCAGTGCACAGCTTGCTCAACTGTCCTTGGCAGCCCTGATCATTGGTACCATTCATTGAACAACTTGTGTGTGCCAGACATATCATCATTAAATCTCACAGCCTCCCTCTGAGGCTGTGGCTTGGACAGGTTAAGCAACATAACAGCCACACAGCCAGAGAACAATGAGACTAAAATCTGGATTTGGATCCGACTCATGCCAAAACCCATACTCCTTATAACCTGCCAGAATATGGTACTCTGGTACCTGTGGGACTGAGGGGTGGGGGAAAGGGGCTGGAAGCCCTTGGGGACACCTGTGTGTCCTCTGCTTCTCTTGGTTGTGGAGCGGGCTTGGGGCCCTAATGCCGGGGAAGGGAAGCTTCTCTAGTGCCGGGGCAGGGAGGTTCCTTAGAGGAAATCCCCGGTCCCAGGTCCATGGCAGGAGTCATGGGGGTTCAAAGGGGACTTTGCCTGCTGTCCACAAGGTGATTCTGGGCTGTCCTGGACTCTGTGCCCTCAAACTCTCCATGCCCGGAGCCCTCCACCCTCAAGTCTGCCCTGCAGGGCCATCCATGGCCAGGGCCAACATGAAGCTGGAGGGTCCCACGGAGTCAGTCCCATGGCCTTGGCCCCGGACTACCTAGTTGCCCACCACTGGGCCAGAACATGCTGGGTGGGGGTGGGGCATGCAGGGGACAAGAGCAGAAACGGGGCGAGGAGCCAGACTCAGGACCACTCTCTTCCTCCCGGGTGAGGCCACGAGCTTGGGGGCTGCTCCCAGCTCTGCCGGTCACCCACTCTCCTTCTGAGGGCCTCAGTTTCCCCATCTGATAAACGAGGGTGCCTGATGGGGAGGGGTTTCCAGCAGGTGGAGGCCAGGCCACGGCCCGAGGAGGCTGACCAAGGTCATGGGCTCCAGCCCGGACCCTTCCCCCACCCTAAGCCAGAACCAGAGCCAAATAGCCCCTGTGGCTTCACCATCCAGTGTGGCAGCCGCTAGCCACGCGCAGCTGTTAAACTGCAAATCAAATCAAATGAAAATGTCTGTTGTTTATCTGCACTGCCCACATTTCAAGGGCCCCATAGCCGCACGTGGCTGAGTGGCCGCCGTATTGTATTGTGCAGATATAAAATATTTTCATCATCACAGAAAGTTCTAACAGACAGCACTGCCTTGGATCAGTTGTTCTCCACGGGGGCAATTTGTGCTCTAGGGCACTCTGATTGTCACAACTAGGGGAGCGCTACCAGCACCTAGTGGGTAGAGACCAGGGAGGCCACTAAACCTCCTACGACCGTGCAGGACAACGCCCACAACAAAGGATCATCCAGCCCAAAATAGCAGCAGGGCTATGGGGTTGAGAGGTCCTCCCTCCGAGGGCTGTGCCAGCACCTGGGGCTGGGACCCCCAGTGTGGAGTCAGGCGAGAGCAGGTCCTCCCCACCTGCCTCCCGCTGCATCCCGGTCCCCAAGTTCACCTCCGACCCTGGCTTGTCCAGTGAGAGGGATTCTCGCTAAAAAGGTCCCAGTGCGAAGAGGGAGGGTCTAGCCCCATCCTGGGGGACCACCCCTCCCAGCTGCCAGCACCCCAACATCCTTTCCCAAGGGGTTAATGGGCGCTTTGGCCTGGCCTGCAGCGATAGCATCTCTGCCGCTCCCAGGTGACACGCAGGTGAGATCACCTCTGCCCATCTGCTCGTCAGCTGCTCCGTTAATGAGAGCCGGGAGGCCACGCCTGCCCCACCCAACTCAGGAGCCCCCCTGGGGAGCAGCGGGGGTGGGGACAGAGCCAGCAGCCGAGGCCAGAGACAGAAGCTGGGAACATCTGGAAGAAGACCATGACTTCTTTTTCCATTTGGAAAAAGTAAAAAATTAAAAGAGCGCTTGGTGGTGGGGGCCGTCCTGTGCACTTCGGGGTGTTAACAGCCCCGGTCTCTACTCCGGAGGTGCCAGGGCCACCCACCTCGCTGTGGGTGGGGCAAAACTGCCCGGGCTGAGACCCCCGATGGAAACACTCTCTGTCTGCACAGAGCAGACACTGGGGACGGCTGCAGGGTCTGCGCCAGCTGCCCTTGACCGCGAGGGCTTCCCCTCTGACCCCGGCACCCCCCGGCCCGCGCTCACCATGTCCGGGAAGAAGGCCTCTGCGTAGGAGCCCCTCACGGAGAACAGCTGGGGCACGTCCACGATGTCGCGCTCCGTCAGGCCCAGCTCCCGCTTCAGCACCTCGCGGTTCCAGTCGATGCATTTCTGGGGCCAGGGCACACCCCGAGACCAGGAAGGGCGTCACGCTTGCCAAGCGCCTACTGCGCGCCGGCCCGTGCAGCCCTCCGTGCCCGCTGGCTCCTCTGAGCCTCACGACGGCTCTGAGCACTAGAAGCCAGAGCTGTCCTGGGGAAACCGAGGCTCAAGCAGCCCGCCCGAGGGCACACAGCCAGGAGGTGGCGGAGCCGGGGTTTGCACCCAGGCAGCTTCTGCTTCCAAAAGCCCTTGTCAACACAACACACTGTCCCAGCCAGCCACAGCGTGATGCTCCTGCCCCATCTCGGCAGTTCAAGAGAAAGCGCCGGGCACCGCTCGGAGGGGCGAGGGGCCGACTCCCATTTACCACCGAGCCCAGCTCTGTGCCAGGCCCCGCACCAGGCACATGGCAGGCCTGGTCCTTGGGTGAGCCCTGCCCCTTCCTGAGCCCTCCTTCCGCCTGTTCTCACAGGATCCCCCCACTCCCCCTCCCCGTCCCTGTCCCCACCCCCACTGGGCCCTATTTCTCCCCAACATCTCTTTGGTTTCACCAGACCTTGCAGCTGAGAGCTCAGGTTTGCGCCCAGGGAAAGGGTCACTTCCCCAGAGCAGGGCCAGGGCCCCCCCCCCCGAGGGCTCTCCCCTATCAGACTGTCAGGCAGAGGCTCTGTCCCACCCACAGGTCCCAGCAGCCCCCAGGAGAAGCAGAGCCCCAGGGCCAAGTCCCCACCACCCAGCAGTTCCTGGGGCTGCTTCCCCTGGAGGGTGAGGGACCCCCCTAGAGCAGCGGGTGGTCCTGCCCCTCACCTGTGCGTGGAGACTGTCGCTCTGGAGGCGCCTGTCCGCCAGCATCTCATTAATGCTTATCTTTCCTGTGTATTTCAACCCTGCAAGAGAAAGACAGTGTGTGGGCTCAGGCCTGGGGCTGAAGAATCCAGGCCAGGATTTCTCTCCCACCTCAGAGCCGGGTTCCAAAGCCAGGATGGAGAAAGCAAGAGACTGGAGACCCTGATGGGCCTGGGCCCTGGCTGCAGGTAAAACATAGTAATGGATCAATCAGCAACCCCTTGGGAAGGGATTCCTGGATTCCAACCCACCATGCTCTGGGCACCCTACTTAATTTATTATTAGTCTTTAAAACAATTCCAGGAGGGATTATTTATCACCTCCAATTCAGAGAAGAGGAAACTGAGGCACCGAAAGATTCAGAACACACCCTGATACCACCGCCAGCAAGTGTCAAGACCAGGATTTGAACCCAGGACCTTCCATGCGGAAGGCTGCACTGCATCCCTTCCAATGCTCCATTCCCCGGGTGAGAACACGGAGGCCTGTGCTCAGATGGGCCGACCAGGTCCTGGAGGGTCTGGGGCTCCTTAAGGAGGCTCCCGGCCACAGAGCCTGGCTTCCCCTCCTCCCACTCTTGAGCTCCCAGCCCTGCTGCTCGGTGGCTGCATAGACCCGGGCAAGCCACTTGTCCTGTCTGAGCCTGTTTCCTCTTCCATGAACAGGGGTAGGAAAGGGGGTGGGGATCAGACAGGAGCGAGAACGGGAACACGCCTGGCCCAGACTGGCACGCGGGGCACTCCTGGCTTCCTGCCCCTTTCCTCCCCTGGGGCGTGGCCCAGGAAATGCCCCGCCCGTCAGAGGACCTGGGGCAATCCACTGTCCCGTCTCTTCCCATCCCCGACCCAAGAAAGGGAGAGCCCTCATCCTTAGCTCCCACACGAAGGTGTCGAAGGTGTCGGGCTCCGAGCCAGCCGCGAGATCTGCAGGTGAAGGGGCTGCACCCGAGGGCACAGCCATAACTGGTGTCAGCAGTGTCCGGGCTGGTGATGACAAGACAGAATCCCCAGGGCTGACCGGCCATTGGCACTCACCATCAAACTGGGCCGCCTCCCCGTAGCCCTCCTCTTTCTTCTCCTGGAAGAGTTTGAGGCAAGCGCTGGGGCTAGCCAGGAGCAGCCGGAAGCCCTGGCACAGAGGGAGGGAGAAGGGCTCAGTGGACAGGCTCCCCCTGGACACAGGAGACCCCGAACTCAGCAGGGGCCTGACTGTGCCCAGGCCCCTCTCTCACCCTCAGCCCTGCCCAGCAGCCACAAAGAACCGTCTGCAGTTCTCCCGGTTTTCCAAGCTGGTTCCCGGCTCTGGGCCCTTGCCTGTGCTGTTCTTCCTGCCAGGAGGCCCTTCCTCACTTTGCCCACCAGGGAACTCCAATTTCTTCCCTGAAGAACCAATTCAGGTGTCTCTTGCACTGGCAGAGGGATAGCTCCTTGGCATATGCTCCGCAGTGCCACCTCCTGTCCCAGGCCCCGTCAGAGCTCTCACCATTGGGCTGTAAGCACTGGTCACTGGGAGGCCAGGCTGCCCCACGAGGGCTGGGCCCTCCCTGGCCACCTCTGCAAGGCTGTGGAGCTGCATGCTTACAGGCCCAGACCCACACCTGGATTTGAATCCTATCCTGCCACCTGCAGGCTGTGTGAGCTTGGGTGAGTTAATGGCACTTCCAAGCCTCAGTTTCCTCACCTGTAAAATGGGGGCAATAATCACAGCACCCACCTTATGGGATGGCTGGAAGATTAAATGAATTAAAATATGCAGACTGAGGCCGGGCGCGGTGGCTCATGCCTGTAATCCTAGCACTCTGGGAGGCCGAGGGCGGCGGGATTGTCAAGGTCAGGAGTTCGAAACCAGCCTGAGCAAGAGCAAGACCCGTCTCTACTATAAATAGAAAGAAATTAATTGCCAACTAAATATTATAGAAAAAATTAGCTGGCATGGTGGTGCACGCCTGTAGTCCGCATACTTGGGAGGCTGAGGTAAGAGGATTGCTTGAGCCCAGGAGTTTGAGGTTGCTATGAGCTAGGCTGACGCCATGGCACTCACTCTAGCCTGGGCAACAAAGCGAGACTCTGTCTCAAAAAAAAAAAATATGCGGACTGTTTGGCACGTAGCAGGTGCTCGGTGAATATTACCAATCATTATCAATGTCATTCCCAGCTCTGGCTGAGGGGTTTGGCTCAAGCGAAGAGGCAGTAAGTGTGAGAATGAGCACCGAGCAGTGAGCAAACGGGTGCCTTCCTGGCTTGAGGCTTCGGCCGCCTCCAAGTAGTCCCCCTGCCCCGGCTAACATGGCCTGACCCCAAGGGTGTCCTGACCCAGGCTCCCTCTGGGCACAGGGACGAGCTAGTCTGGGTGGCTTCACCCTGTCTCAGCCCACCGGGTCAGGCAGGGGCAGAGGTGGCTCAGGCAGGACGGAGGGGAGGGGACGCACCTTCCTGTCGGTGTGGCCGGCACGAAGCACAGGAACTCGTCCACGTGGCCCACGGACAGCCAGTCCGAGTACAGCTGCACGGGCGCCTGCACCCGCTGGGCCTGCAGGAAGTTTCTCACCACCCTGGCCATCTGGCGCCCGCCGGACCTGGCCGGAAAGGGGAGAGTGGGCAGTCACCTGTGCCTACTGTGCGCTGGCGTCCCTCCTGTGCAAGCCTCGCAACAGCTCTCTGAGTGGGGAGAGCTGGAGTGACTCAGCCTGGGCCACACGGCTGGAAGGTGGCCGGGCCAGCCTCCCGGATTCGCAGCCCAGCAGTTCAGCCAGGGCGCTGGGGGGAGGGGGGCCGGGGGGGAGGGGTCTGCCCCAGGAAGAGACGGTGCTGACCCGCCATGGGTCAGGCCTGTGCCAGCTGCCACAGTTTGTGCCGGGCACAGGCTAGGACCCCCTGCCCCAGCCCGCAAGGGCTCCCGGAACATACTCTTCATCCAGAGTGTGGACCCCTCCCCAACCCCAACAGCCTCCTCGAGGCCAGGAGGGTCCTCCCCACCCAAAGGGGTCAACGGGGAGAGCTCCATTCGCCAGAGGGAGCTGGACACCCTCGTCTCCCAGCCCAGCACTCACTTGACTCCTCACTCAAGGGACACACAGCCTGCTGCTCAAAATGTGACAGGGATCCGGCCAGCTGCGCCCTCGGTCCGGCGCCTCCCACAGTGCGGGGCTCAGACTGCGGCAGGGGTGGGCGCCCTACACCCCCGTCTCTGGGGACGTGGCGGGAATCTGCACTTGGACCAGCCTCTGCTTCTTACCCGGGCCAGAGCTGGAGAGCCGCTGCGCCAGCACCCCCTAACACCCCGGGACTCCGGGACTCGAGGTCCCCGAGTGTCATGACACCCTTTGCCGGCAGGGGGAGGGAAGGGAGGGGCTGACGTAGAAAGATGGCGCTTGGAGCAGGGGACAGTGGGGCCAGACCGGAGCCCCTCAGCCCAGGGAGAAGACATTTACCAAATGCCCCCTGTGCGTGGGAGGGATCCCCTGACGCTGCTTAGGCAAGGCAGGGTCCCCATTTCACAAAGGAGGTGACGTGTCAAAAGGCAGAATGCCTTACTACGCTCTGGGCGGCTCCACCTTTCTCTGGCCACGTATGAAAGGCACAAACACACTATCTATGTAGATTTTTTCCCCAATATATTTTATTTAAAAAGAATCATGTTTCTTGCCCTTGCTTGTCCAGTTTAAGGACATATCATGAACGAGCTCCCAGCCTGCATGTAATCTGGTGGCTCTGCCTTAAACCAAGGACAGAATCCAGAGCTTCCTCCCCTCCTCCTCTGCCACCCCCTGGCCAGCTGACACCTCCCTTGCCTGCATCAGCGGTGGCCTGTCCCTTCCCCGTCTCTCTGTTTTCACCCAGACTTCCCCCAGTCTAACCAGATGGAGGCTTTTAATCCGTCAGATCATGGCCCTCCTCTGCTTGCAACCCGAGCACCGGCGCTCCCGTCTCACTCACAGCAAATGCAAAGCCCTTTTCTGACCTGCAAAGCCTTCCTGACCCGGGCTTTCTCTCCCCCTCGCCACCTCCTGCCACTCCCTTCTTCATTTGCTCAGTCCCAGCCAAGTTGGCCTCCTGCTGTCCCTTTCCTGCCTCGGGGCCTTTGCACCTGCTGTTCTCTGTACCTGGAATGTTGCCAACTCCCCATAGCCCCATGGCCTGCTCTCTTACCTCCTTCAGGTTTAACTCAAATCTCACCTCTCTCTCTCTGAGACCTTTGAAAAATGCAACAGCCCCCCAACCCCCTTCCTGGCTTTATTTTTCCCTACGGCATTGGGTACCATCTGGCATACAGATATCTTATGTATTGTCTCACAGTCCCCTGGGATGTAAACCCCACAACAGCTGGGGTTTCTGTCTAAGTGATTCTCTGCTGTACCCCCAGCGCCTTGCTTATACTAGACCCTCAGAAAACATTTGCAAATGATACGGGCGCCCTTGAACCTCTGTTCAAAGAGGTCCCTGCCCTACAAAAGCGTGAATGAATACGCCCTACACGAAGACCAGAGGGAGACGGGACAGGCGGTGACAAATGAAAACACTCCTTTGAATTTTGGGGAGGAGATCATGGGAAATATTTTCCTTGTGCTTCTGTTATTTTCATATAGTGTTGGCAACTTTAAAAGATTTCTTTAAAAAACTAGTGAGATGGCGGGGACAAGAACTAGGCTTCGGAGGTTGTCCGAGAGAAGAAAGCAGCAGGAACCAGAACCGGACGGGGCTGGGGAAGGGGCAGGGTCCCTCCTTGGGACAGTCTCCAGCCCTCCACCCCGAGGCAGGGGGATGGACGGGACTCCAGCCCCAGAGGCGTCAGACCCTGTCTCTGAGCCATCACCAGAGCCGCCACCAGGGGGCGCAATTGCTCAGCGAACGTTTTAAACGTGGGCGCAGAGGGCGGGGAACGCCCCACAGCAGAGAAGGGCCTGGGCGTTTGTCGAGCCCTACTGTGTGCCTGCCTTAGGCTCCTCGCACTCGGTATCTTGTTTAATCCTGGTGACACCACGATACACGTACGATACCAGCTCCAAGTGTGCTCCGCCACACCCTCCGACCTCACTCCCCACCACGCCCCTGCTTCTTCTCCTGGCTGCAGCCCCACTGGCCTCCTTGCTGTCCTTCTAATGTGCCCAGCGTGCCCCTGCCTCGGGGCCTTAGCACAGGCTGTTTCCACTCTATTTAGGAACATTCTCTTCCTAAATAGCCACACCACTAACTTGCTGTGTGGTCCTAGGCAAGTAGGTATCCCTCTCTGAACCTCAGGGTCCCCCATCTGTCCACCAGGGGAACTTATTCCTGATTTTCAACGCAATGGCCAGTGGAGCGGGGCACGCCCCCACTGGAGACCCCTCGCTTTCCCACCTGTGCCTGGAGCTGCTGGAACAGACCCCTGCAGCCCCGCCCAGAAAGAAGGGCCCTGGCAGAGCTCGCTGGCTGGTGGTGGGGTGGGCGGGTAGGGGTGTACATGTGTCACGGCGCAATAAAGAGACTGGGGCAGGAGACCAGGTCAGGGGCAAGAGCATAGTCCCTGGGGACACAAAGAGCCCTTTCTCGTTCCTGAGCCTGCATCCTCCGAGCTCTTCGCCCCTGAGACCGGGTCCCAAGGCCGCTGGAGGGGACAGCAGCCGCCTGAGGCATCTGCGCAGAGCGGCCGCAGGCTCCCCGAGCTCTCCCCGCACCCAGACCTGCAGGAGCCTCCTTCCGCCTGAGGTCTGGCCCGTCTGTCCCCACCCATCTCCCTGCCACCCGCCACCCCACCAAGCTGCCTGCGCTTTGCTTTTGAGCCATGCTTCCTCTGGCCTCCAGGCATTTTCCCAGAGGTTCCCTCTGCCCAAAAACTCAGGTCCAGTCCCCGCCCCACCCCCCAGCTCCTTTCTTTCCCTGTACAAAGTCTGTGCGTCTATTACCATGACACATCAAGCAGTCGCTGTCCCTAAGGAGCCTTTCTTGACGCCTCCCGTGGGATTATTTGTGATCCTCTCTGATCCCACTGGGTGCAATTGTGTGCCCAGCCCCCTCACTGGACTGTCAACTCCCGAGGGCCAGTTCCTGGGTCACTTCTGCGTCCCCCAGCAGTGGGCCCCAGGCCTGGCATAGAGGAAGTCTTAATAAATATTTATTCACTTGGCAAATGCATGCATGAACAAACGCACATGACTGCACTTTTCTGAGCCTCAGCTTCCTCGTCTATAACAGGGGGATAGTAACAGCCCCGACCCCAGAGGGTTGTTGTAAGAATTAAAGGAGGTAACCCGGGTAAAGCATTATGGGTATGGCACATAGTAGGTGGTTAATACATTTTGTCTGATGAGTTCCAACCTCCTTCGAAGCCGACCCACTCCTGGGATGCCAGGTGAGTGACACCTAAGCATTCCGCAGGTGGTTTACACGAATTCTGTACCCCCAGCCGTGCTGATTATGTAGCTAGGACAGGGATTTTTATCAGGCCCATTTTACAGATGAGGAAACTGAGGCATGGAGCATACAATAATATGTTCATTTAAAAATGCATCTGTTTTGCTCACTGATATATCATCCGTACCTTCAACATGTAAGAAACACATTCAAATGAATTAACTGAGCACCAACGCTGGTTAGGTGATACACCCCAAATCACATGGCTAGCAAGTGGCAGGGCCGGGACTCGAGCCCAGGTCCATCTGCTTCCAAAGCCTGTGCTCCTTCCTCACGGGTCCCTCCCCGAGTCACAGAAAGACTGCCCTCAGGCCTCGAGGCCCTTCAGCCCCCAGGCTGTGGGCAGGCTCCCGCCCACAGTAGAGTCTGGGCATGAGTGACCGGCAGGTGAGCACCTCCTCCCACACTGGCCCACTCAGCCCCAGGCACCCTGCCTGGGCGCCCGGCTACCTGCCTGGGTAGTGGCAGCAAGCCTCGACTCACCTGACCCAGAGCCCTGAGGCCACCGCCAGGTTCAGCCCAGGAGGCTGGGTGACCTTCTCAGCACTGCCCCACTGCTCTGGGCCAGACACCAGACGGTCGGCCAGGGACTGGGGGCAAGTTGGGGCACCCCTCGGCTCCATGCTAATCCCCCACAAACGGGAAGGTGACCTCCAGGGCTTGTGGCAGGCATAACCTCCAGACAGGAAGCAGGGGACCCCACCAGGGTCCTACGCTGCATACCCCATTCCTTGGTGACCCGCAGGCAGGACGCGGACCCATTCCTGGGGATTTGGCAGGTATGTCACCTGTCTGAGCACTAAACCCTCAACACCATGTTTCCTGCCCCAGCATGGCTGTCCTGGGCAGGGCCCTCCGACTCACTTCTGTCACTCGGACGTCCTGGCCAATCACTTGCTCACCTGCAGCCAGGTCACTTGGTGGCCTCTGTGCCCTTTTAAGCCATTGTCAGGACAGCAACTATTTTGACTTCTTAGTGGGAGGAGCCTCCAGGGATGTGGGCAGGGTCTCCTTCCGTCCCCTGTCACTGTGCCAGGCCGCACATCACTGCCCCGGCTTCTCTGATTTTGCAGGAGAAGCCAGAAATCTGGCTGTTTATGTGAACCACACACACACACACACACACACACACACACACACACACACACACACACAATGCTGGTGACTACTTGGCTTATAACATGAGGTGGGCCAAAAGATCACAGGCTACTAGTTTGTGAGTTTCCTCCTAAGATACTATAACATTTTGAATCTGAGGGGTTTTTTGTTTGTTTGTTTTTTGTTTTTTGAGACAGAATCTCTCTCTGTTGCCCAAGCTAGAGTGCCGTGGCATCAGCCTGGCTCACAGCAACCTCAAACTCCTGGGCTCAAGGGATCCTGCTGCCTCAGCCTCCCGAGTAGCTGGGACTACAGGCATGTGCCACCATGCCCGGCTAATTTTTTTCTATATATTTTTAGTTGGCCAATTAATTTCTTTGTATTTTTAATAGAGACAGGGTCTCACTCTTGGTCAGGCTGGTTTCGAACTCCTGACCTGGAGCGATCCTTGCTCCTTGAGTGCTCCTCCCAGAGTGCTAGGATGGAATCTGAGATTCTTGGACTCCGAGTGTTTGATTCTAGGGTTGCATGCAGGAAGCCAACACCACTTTCCAGACTGGGGAACCGTGTCCATGGCGAGGGGACGCTGAGGGTAGATGCTGCCCTCGGCCCCTCGAGCCCTCTGCCGCCCCCCCACCCTGGCCTCTCACTTGGGGTAGCTGCTGCCGATGAGGATCCGGCCCAGGGGGTACTCCACGCCACCCACCGTGACGGGCGGGCTCACGTCCAGGTTGCCAAAGGAATCTAGGCTGGAGGCACCGGCGGCCAGGATCTCCCGGGTTACATATCCAAAGTCGGGACCCTAGGGAAGGACCAGCAAGGCCCCCACCCCGAGAAGGAGGGGTCAGTTAGGACAGGAAGAGGCAGCTCTTGGGGTGGAGGGCATGATGGTGGAGGATTCCCAGCCCCTGGCATCTTGTGCCTGAAAAACCACCTCCACCCGCGTTTTGCAAATCACCCCTGGGCTCCAAGCACTGGGCAGTTAAAGTACACATCAGTGACCTCGGGATAACTCGAACATCCCCGAATGTTTGGAAATTAAGCAACACACATGTAAAGAGTCCATGGGTCAAAGAGGAAATCAAAGTGGAAATTAGATTATATTTTGCAGTGAAAGGTGATATAGCAAGGCAGCACGTTAAATCTCGCAGGATGCCGGGGGTTGCCAGAGCTCTAACATGTGTATTTATTAGGGAGGGAAAAGGTTGAAAAGCAGTAGCTTTCATTTCAAGCTCGAAGAAGAACAGCAAACTAAGCCCCAAAAAAGTAGAAGATGAGAAATAATTCAGATGAAAGCAGAAATCAGAGAAAAATCCCCTGGTGTCCACAGGTTAAACCCAGGGCTTGGGGTCAGGTGGGTCCCCAACCCACTGGCCCCCATTGATGTACTCACCTGCAGGGTTCATTGTCACCTGCCCCTCCATGCTGGGTGAGGGTCCCTGCTCTGTGCACCCACAGATGCCAGGACTTTCCCTGCACTGTCCCAGAGGTTGGAGGTGGGAACCGGTAAACGGGCAGAGACGGGCCCTGGAGGCTTTTGCACCTTGGTGCAGATGGCCTTGTGCAAGTTACTTAACCTCCCTGAGCCTCAGTTTCCTCACCATAAAGAGGAAATAACTAATAGCACTTAGCCATAGGAGTGCCCATGGATTGCACAAGGTAACACCTGGGAAGCTTGGGGACAGTGCCTAGACCTCAACACACAGTGGCAGGTGCTGCAGTTGGTGCCCCACGAACAGGAAGCAACACAGTGCCCAGTGTATGGTAGGTATTCAGAAAACACTTGATACCTGACCAGAGGCCCCGGCTCTTAAAAGCAAGAGCCACTCGGGTTCGCAAAGGGTGCGTTCTCCCCAGCCTGCAGTCTGATCGCCCCAGGGCTGGCCACTGTGCTGATCCCTCCTTGGGAACAGGCCCCTTACCTGGGACACCTTGTCTGTCCTGCCCCTCCCAGAACAGGGGCGTTCACAGCTGCTGGCTATTTGCATGTGGTTTGCATATCATTTGCATCTCCCACCCAAACCGCCCACTGACTCCCCGGTTTGCTGGTGTGCCACCTCCTTTGTCTTTTTTGCCCTTTTCCATGGTCTCTGGGCCCTAAAGGATCAGGCCCCAGATGAGGCCTCGCTGGGGTCTCCCAAGGGAGGAACCCCCCGGGGTCCCCACTCTGCCCTTCGCCATACCAGGATCTTCTTATAGGGGAAATCCCGCAGGCCTCTGTTTCGGGGGGAGTCGAAGACCACGGGGAAGTACTTGTGCGGGGCCTCCACGTAGCCAAACTCCATCTCGTCCTGGGAGGGGAGAGGTGAAAAAGCCACCGTGAGCTCAGGGTGGCTTTCAGAGCAGGGCGGGCCTCTCCAGGCCTGGGGCGGGCGGGGCGGGGCAGCAGATGCTCCCCAAGACTGGGGGTGGGCGGAGGTGGAGGTGAGGCCTCCAGGAACCTTGGCCAGGAAGGACTCTGGTCTGGGTTTGGTGGGAAAAAGCAGAAGTTGGGGCCAGTGCAGGCGGCAGCAGGGAAGCCTCCCCCAGGGGTCCCGGCCCCCGGCTGGCTTGTCAGGGCCTGTGCAGGCCTCCCTCTCCCCAAGCCCAGCTGAAGGCTTCCCGGGGCACCCCGACTCTTTCCCAAGCCTGTCTCTGCGCCCACCTGGATCCAGCGGTCATTTCGATTTTCAACCCGAGGGCAGACGACCAGCTTGCAGTGGGCTTTCGATGCCAGGCGAGACATGTCTTCCAGAAATTTATCATTTGGGCCATGAGCGTCCATGACGCTGTAGCAGACAGAGAGGGGAGCACGCTGCGGCCGAGGCCGGGAACCTTGACTCAGTCTGCGCTGGGCCCCTGGGGGCACCGGGTCAGACACAGCCCCTGCTCTCAACAGCCTCGTGGACCGATGGGGGAGAGGGATAATGTCCCCAGATCGCATCAGGTGACAGGCACAAGGTAAGGGGTTAGCCCAGGCTGTGGAGCCCAGAGGCAGGGCACCCAACCCAGCACAGGTAGTCCCACAGGTAGCCACGAGGCGACCTAGGGCTGGATCTCTCTGGCTGGGCGGTAGTGAGGGGCACGTGGCCCCGTCTACTCCTGTCCACGCAGCTGGCCTGAGCACAGGGGTCAGGGTGGGGCTAGCAAGCAAGCAGGAGGAACGGATTTCCTTCTGAATACCTGCACACGCCTAGACCCAGGCAAGCAGAGCAAACCTGTTTGGCCACACCCTTCCCAGCGTTTTGATTTATGTCCCGCTCAACTGTGGCCCTTTCCAGTGGTCTGACCTCTGACCCAAAGGCCTGGTGGGCCTTGCCAGACGAGGCCCAGCCCTCCACCAAGTGCGTGACCGGGACACCGAGAGACGGCAGGAGGAGCAGGGCCCCAGCCTGGGCTGGGCTCGCAGTGAGCCCCACAGGCTGGACTCCCACCCACGTCCTCAGCAGGCACAGGACTGCACCCATGTCACAGCATGTCTAGGTCCCCTGTGGCCACCGGCAGCCTAAGCAGGGCCTGGCCCCGCTGCCCAGGCTAAAGCCACGGTGTTCCGGGGCTGCCGCAGCAGGACTGGCCAGGCCAGGGGCAGGGATGCTGGAGCTTGAGCCGGTGACCCCAGGGGGGACTTAGCTGCTCAGGGCAGGGTGGGGCCAACCGGCCCAGGCCACCTGCTGCCGCCCTGCACCCGGCTCTGCCCCCGGGGTGCTCTCAACAGATCTGTCGGTCTGAGTGGGGGGCCAAGTCCCCCAGCATCCTGCCCCTACCTCTGCAAGTCGCGGTTGCTGGCAGGGCTGCAGGGGCGGGGCCTCACCTGCACACATACAGCTCCTCGGGGGGCTGGGTGTTGGGGGTCATGATCCAGGGGGCCACGCGGAAGGCCACGGTGTCTGTGAAGAGGGTCACCGCAGGCATGGTCTGAGGGGACAATGAGGACTCAGTGGGCCCTGCAGGGCCCCTACCAAGCCCAAGCCCATCCGGCCTCAGCCCCCCGCCTGCCCAGCCCTGGAGCTCCAAGCTGGGCCCCCGGCCCCGGCCCTGGTGCCCGCCCCCAGCGCTGCACGTACCCGCATGTCCACCAGGCTGACGTGGAGGGAAACCAGCCCCAGGAAATCGGCGTCGGGGAAGGCGAGCCCCTCCACGTAGAAGGTGATCTCCCGCTCCCCCCGCTGCCGCTCGACTTTGTAGGACAGCTGGTGGGGGCCCAGGACCTGCTTGTAGTCCTCCAGGGAGTTCCCGCCTAGGGAGAGCCAGAGTCGGGGGCCGGGGCTGGGACATGGGTGTGGGGCTGCCAGCCCGGGAATCCAGGGGCAGAGCCGCCTTTGTGGTTAGATCTACTCGGGCTCCTCTCCAGCTCTGCCGTGTGCAAGCTGTGTGACCTCGGCTCAATGACTCAACCTCTCTGAGCCTCAGTTCCTCATCTACAAACTGAGTGTGAACATTACATTTCTCATGAGGCTAATGCGAACTTGAAACCAGATAAAGGGATAAAAGCCCTTGGCACAAAAGGTGACAATAACCCAAATGTCCATCCGTGGGGATAAATGGATAAATAAATGCGGTCTGTCCATAAGGTGGAATATTATTCATCCGTAAAAAGGGACGGGGTACTGATTTGTGCTACACTGTGGATGAAGCCTGAAGGGATTATGCTAAGTGAAAGAAGTCAGGCACAAAAGGCCACACGTTGGATGATCCCGTCGGTATGAAATATCTAGACGGGCAAATCCACGAAGTCGGAGAGAGATCGGGGGCCGCACGCGGCGGAAGCTGCCGATTGGCGTGCGGAGACTGCGCTGGCGCTCTGGTTCACACTAGGTGTTTGCGAGCTGGGTCCTCCGCCCACGCTCGCACCGCGGGCGCACACGAAGGAACATTCCAGCCCCTGCCAGGCACAGTCGGCCTGAACCGGGAGTTCTGGGTCATTCTGAAGGAGGGGAAGGGGAAGCAGGACGGGCGGGAGAGGCCTGCTGCTACTTATCAAAACCAGTACAGGCGCTTCAGGATTAAGGGCTGGTGTATTTTTAAAGCCACAGACGTGGATTAGTATAAAAACTGGTGGAGCGGCCGGGTTCTGGGAGCAGGCCCGTCCCCAGCGGCTGGGCGGTGCTCGGTCAGTCCACGCTCACTGACCGGGGGGCGGGGCGGGGCTCGGGGGCAGTGGAAGGAGAAGGGGCTCCGGTGCCCAGGACACCTGGGTTGGAGTGCCTGCCCCGCCCCCAGTTGGTTGTGCGACAGTGAATTCATGCGCCTGTGCCTCAGTTTTTCTCTCTGTAAAATGGGACTAGCTGTCGAACCTCCTTCCTGGGTACTGCGCTGAGCGCCGGCGGAGGGGCTGTTTGTAAGCTGTAGCGGCGGTTACCAAAAGGTGGTGGAGAAAAGAGAGAGCGATGGGGGAGGAGAGGAGAGAAACAACCGGCTGGAGCAGGACGGAAGAGGCCCGCCAGGCCACTCACCCCGAGCACAGAAGACCCCCACTCTTTTGGAGTCAGCCAGGGACACGTCTAAGACCAGCTTGTGGCTGCTGAAGAGCTCGTCGGGGCCATCACAGCTCAGCACCATTGGGGACATGTCCTGCAGGTCTGGGGAGAGCGGCGCCCTTGAGACACCCCTCCCCACACCCGGCCAACAGGACCCTCCTCCCCTCCCCTCCCCCATTCCCCTGGGCAGTGCCTTGTGTCCCTCACCATCTAGTGTGGTCAGCTGGCTGTTGGCAAGGTCAGGCTCCCTGGACTGCTGGCTGTCCCGGTCACAGTTCACCAGCAAGACAGCCCCATAGCCCTTAGGGCCCCAGCGCCAGGTTTTCTGTGGCAGAACAAGAAGTCCCGGAGGTCAGCAGGCCCCAGGGGACTCCAGGAATGGGTTCTAGACAGGGCCAGGGCTGGCTGCTTTGTCACCTTGGAGACGTTTGTATTCTGGCTTTGCTTAACAATTTACAGAGGGGTCATAGATCTGGGGACTGGAGCTCCCGGCAAGGCTCTAGACCCAAAGCCCCCCTATGCTTGTGCAGTGAACAACCTGCACAACCGTACACAGTTGCTCTACCTAGTCGCTGCATTGGAGGAGTGAGGGTGCTGTTTCCACTCCCAGAAATGGCCCCCCGAAAGCCGGCTGAGCTTTAGCTCTTCCTGGGGTGGGGTGTGGGAGAATCCGTGGGAGGCTCTCCCCGTCTCAGCGCTCTCCTGGGGCCTGTCCCACAGGCGTCTCTAGCACCCACCCGGGACCCTGCAGGCCCTGCAAGCTGAGGTCCGCGATGAAGCAGGAAAGAGAGCTGGAGCCCTGCCTGCCTCTGTGGCCGCCACTCTCCCCGGCACGCCTCCACTTTACCCCCATGGCACACACAAGGCAGCGCTCACTGTCCCCATTTCACAGAAGAGAAAAGGGAGGCTCTGGGAGGTGAGCCCCAAGTTGCATGGTTGGCCTTCAAACCCAGATCTTTGGGACTGCACAAGGCCCCTGCTAGCCTATGTGGCCTTGCTGTCCATCCCTCTGGGTCGATGCCGCCCTGCACCAGGACCCCAGGCATGATGAGTATCATAGCTGCCCCCTTACCCAAGCGCCCTTGTGCAGTGGACAACCTGCACAGCCATCCATGGCAGCCCCGCCCCGCCTCGCCCACAGAGCCCTGTGATCCAGGCCACCTCCCTAGGGGCTTTTCCTGCAAACCGTACCTCTATCCCCTCCAGGACAGCTTCCGGATACTTCCTGTGGGGTAATACCCTGAGCCCACCCCATCCTCCTCCTCACTCTTCAGGGTTAACTGGGCTGACCACCGTAGCTCCCTCCACCAGAAGACTAATCTTCTTGCCTTCGTTGTCACTCGACAACCTTTTATGGAACACCCGCCATGTTTGGAGGTCTACATACAGCCCTCAAAACGGAGAAAGCAGCAGGCAAGAGAACCAATCCCAGTTCCAAGGTAGCATGAGACCCAGAGAGGGTAAGCTGTTTTCCAGCCGTCACACAGCATGTCGGTCACATGGTGTAAGTTAATGCCCATTCATGCCAATTTGGCCGTCCCTGGATGGGTTCCCTACACTGACGGACACCCCAGGCCCTGGGAACCCATCACCCTGCTGGAGGGAGGGCGCACTCCACCCCGGACCACCCACAGGTTTGCCTGTCCACCCTGCAGTCTTGGGGTAGCGGGGGGCAGGGTCTCACCTTGTCCCCTCTGCTTCTCTTCACCGTGCCTGTGCGGCCTGCGTCGACATCCAGGGAAACATCTGCAAAGGGACAGAGAGGGGCTGCCAGGGGCTCCCCCAGCCCCGTCTTCACGCCCATAATGTCCAGGCTGGCCAAGTTTTACCCTGTCCCAAGCCCAGGAGAACCAGGACGCTCTGCCCCTGGGGCCCCTACCCAACACGTGGGAGGCCCTTGTGGCTGACCAGTGTGGGTGACACTTGTGGCTCTGGGGACCGGAGGGAACCAAGTCTTTGGCTCTGGAATTCCTTGCATGTCTGAGCATGTTGACTTGCCAGGCCTTGGGGGCCTGGGGCTTCCAGATCACGTGCTGCTGGCCCTTAACTGGCAGCTGGGGGTGAGCCCTGAGGTCCTAGGGGCTGCCCTGGGCTCTGGCCGAAGGGGCACGTGGCTCTCCGCAGCCCACGTGGGACTCGGGTGGAGGAGGTCTGCTGGGGTCCGGCTCTTGGCCCCTGGGCAGTGAAGTTTCTAGATTCTCACAGCCTTAGCGACTGCGGGGTCTCATCTCTGCTGTTCCAGGGTGGATAAAAGGTCTCTGAGAAGGCCAAGCCCTCGATGGTGGAGGAAACTGGCCACGGGCCTTCCACGCAAGGGAGCTGTTGAGACCCTCAAACAGCCAACCTGGGGGGGGGGGGCGCACGCAGACCAGGGAGGTGGCACTTACCTGCGCCAGTGAGGTAGAGCACACTGTGGCCCAGAGCATCCTCCTCGGGCTCCCCGAAGTAGAAGACCTTCACCTGTGGGGACACAGTTAGCTCTGAGGCCGCACAGCACCCCCTCCAGAGACGGAAGGAGAAACGGGGGACACATCCCGACAGTCCTGCTTAGAGCCAGGGGAGGCACGGAGACCACAGGTTGTCCCGATGCTGAAGCCCCAGGACTCGCGGCTCTGGGGGTGGGCTCGGGCTGGGCTATCTCCAGCTGCCAGAGCAGGTCTGTGGGGCAGGGTGGGGCAGGGGGGTGGCAGGGGTGTGGCGGACTCCAGTGGGAGCAGCTGACTGGTGCCATTGACTTAGGCAAGTCACTCAACGCCTCTAAGTCTCGGCTCCACATCCATTAAGTGGGACCAGTACCCGCCCCGCCCCCAGCACCGCGGGCGGTGGTCGCAGAGCTGTCGCACAGTCCGGAGCCCACGCCAAGCACTGCCCCGGTCACCCCAGTGAGCCCCGAGGGCGGCCCCAGTGGACGGGGAACACCGGCCACGCCTGCAGTCCCGCAGCTAGCGTGCAGGGCAGGCGGGGCCTGTGCCGTGTCAGCCAGCCAGTGAGTCACCGTGCGTGGCAGGTGCCTGGGGCTGGGGCGAGGGAGGAAGGTGTCACTGGAGCTCAGGAAGGTGTCACTGGAGCTCAGGAAGGGCAATGAAAGGGAAGCTTGCTCGGGCGTGGGGGACACGCACACAGGACGCTATGCACGCATGCACACACGTGTTGCTGTGGGGTCTGCGTGGCGGCTGAGTACAGGGACCAATGGAGGGTGTGTGTGAGTCTGCGGGGTGACGGGGTGGACCCGTGTTTTGGGGAGGCGTCATTCGCGCGCACACACGAGCCGCAGGGCGCCGGGAGGGCTGTGTGTTCCCGTCTGCGCAGCCGTGTGGGCTGTGTCGTGGGGACGCGGGTGCAAGAGGCTCTGCGGGGCGCGGCCGCGGGAGGGTGCTCTGTGGTGGGGACGCGCCATGGGGGCTCTTGCCCTGGATGGGGCGTGGGGAGACCCAGCCCCACCGAGAGGAAGAGGCTCTTACCTTGCGGTCGTCCAAGTCCTTGCTGGCTGTGTCCATGGACACGACCACGTCCACTTCGGCGCCCAGCGGCCAGCGGGCCTTGCCTGTGGGCTCTGTCACCCGTGCGGGATTGTAGACCACAAAGACCTCCACCCCGGAGCTCCCAGAGACCCCGAAGGTCTTGGCGCCCTCGGGCACGTCGCTGGCAGAGAGGGGAGAGAGGGAGAAGCCGGGGTGCTCAGGAGAGGGGCCACGGCGGGGTGGGGGGCCGGGGCTGCCAGGGCTGGGGGGACTGGGCATGGCTCTGGCCAGGAGGCCTGGGAGGGGCTGCAGGCAGCCAGGGCATGGGTGGCCACTGTGGACACCCCCACCCCATGCCCAAGTCTCTTCCCAATCTGGCACTGCCAAATCCTCCAACTCAAGGGGAATCCATCTGGCCCACCACCTCCCACCACCTCCAAGGCCGAGGTTCAAGCCACCACCACCGCCCACCCAGGCTGCTGGGCACCTTCTTCACCGGGCTCCCCGTCCCACCTGTGCCCCCAGCCCCAGTCTACTCTGCGCACAGCAGTGTGTGCTGTTCCTTTGCTCAAAAGCTGTGGTTTCCATCAAACTCAGGAAAAGGCAAAGTCCTCACAGTGGCATACGAAGCCCCTCCCCATCTGCCCCTGCCACCTCCCTGACCTCCTCTTCAGTTTTCTCTGGCCACACTGGCCTTCCACAGCCTTCCTGCTGTGCCATAACGCCAGGCCGTCCTGCCTCAGGGCCTTTGCACTGGCCGTTCCCTCTGCCTAGAATGCTCCTCCCCAGATCCCCGCACGGCTCGCTCCCTTGGCCCTGCCGGGGCTCTGCCTGGATGTCACCTTCTTGGCCAGCCCTCATCCCTCCATGTCATGTGGCACCTTGCCCATCTTCTCCCCACGTGGCCACGTGCGTGGTGTGGCAGCACCCTGGCCCCTCATTCCGTTGACCTCTCTTCCAGTGACCCTGTCCCCCACCTGGCTCCAGCCCTGTGTCCCATGGACGGGCCCCCTACAGTGTCATTACCTAGAACTGCACCCACTACAAGTGACCCTGTCAGCACCCACTCAGACACCACCTCCTGGCATTCCGGCTCCCTCCTGACACGCCACTGCCACCAAGCCCTCAGCCCCGATGGGCCCCTCGACCTCTCTCCCCCTTGTCACTGTCCCTCACCCACCATGTTCTGTCTTCCCTTTGCCTGTTTAGGTTCCACAGTCGCCGGTTGTGGCCCCTGCATTGCTCCCCTCCTTTTGCCTGCCTTTCCCTCCCGTGCTGCTGGGCAACGCCCCAGCCTCCGCCAAACCCGCCTCTCCACCCCCCTGCACCCGGGCCGCACGGCTGACGGCCGCTCGCTCGGACCCATGACCGCTGATCCCAGGGACCCCTGACGCCGTGTGGCAGTCCTGCGACATTCCTCGAGCCTCTTCTTGCTGTCAGTGTCTTAGATGACCATTCCACACCTTCTCCTCTCTTGGGTGCATCCGTCCCCTCCTCCCCCTCCTCGTTCAGAGCCCATAACCTCCCGGCCACCTGCCTCTGAGCCCTCTCGGGACAAGGAGCGAAGTGCCTGGGCGCTTGTCCCCTGCTCAGGGCCACCCCCCTCCTCACTCTCTCTCGCCCAGCATGCAGACGTCCGGTGAACACCACCCACCCTAAAGTCATCCTCCCGGACCCCTCATTGCTTCGCTCCCCCTGCAGGAACGCGCCACCCAACCCATCGCCCCTGCAAGCCGCCTCCAATCAGCCTTTCCTCCCCGCCTCGCCAGGGAACCCGCTGTGTCCCTGAATCCAAGGGTCCCTCCTCTTCTTCCTCTTGCTAAACTGTCAAAGGCACTTGGCCCCGAGGTTCATCTGTGCCGGAAACACTTTCCCCTTAGGCCACCGGGACACAGGCTCTGCCCGCTGTCCTCTCGCCGCCCCGCCCCCGCCCCCAGGCAGTGGTGTGCTGGCAAAGGTCTAACAACCAGTTCTTGGGGTGGGGGGCGGGAGGGAAGGTGGGTCTTATGCATATAATTTATTATAAATTTTACTGGTATAGATGATGTGTAGCACACTGCGTGCAAATAATAACATAACATATATTGCTTTTTTATTGTGAAATGTGTTATAAATTCTCTGTGGCCCACTGATTCTCACAGAACACCCTGTCTTATAACTGTAGCCAACCTGTGGTTGCAACTCAACCATGACTTGACAAGTGCAATCGCATCCCGATCTGCTAGTTCTCTCCCTAATATTGCCGTTAAATGTGCCATGCGGTGTGGATGTGGCTGATATTTTTGCTTGTGCTCATGAATAAGGTGAAAGACAGTGAAACAGGTGCATGTCACACTTCACTATTCACCAAGGACATCAGCAGCTTTTGGCTGAATCAGATAATACTGGGGAGATACTTCCTCAATTTTAGGTGCTAACCACAACGTAATGACTATAGACACAACACTTTTAAGTTAAATCCGCATTTTCAACCTTTCGCCGCCACTTTCCGAGGTCTGGACCATCAAGAAAACAATAAGCGAAGCCCTGATTTGTAGCCTTGGCTGATTTCTGTGATGTAAATTCTCCCACTGCGGCCGGTTTCACGCGACCAGCCCAATGTCACTGAACTCAGAGTTTCAGAGAAATACGTGGGATGTGAGGGCCATCTGGCTGTGACACTGCCACCCCGTCGATCGCCAGGGTTGATTCGGCTGACCTGGCTGGCTACGAGGGTGTCCCCTTCCGCCATCAACCTCCACGAGCGTCCATCCCGAAGCTTTGTCCCTCCCGAAGCTTTGTCCCTCCCGAAGCTGCGCGCTCGGTAAAAGAGGGCGACCTTCCCCGACAGAGGAGGACCGTTCTCCGGTCGAGGGTACACGAGTGCTTTGCTCCCTGCTAGAACCTCCAAACAAGCTCTCAAGGAGACGCCTGGTAGGGCTATTTCTACCCTACACAGCTAATGGTGGAATGCAGTAATTAGGAAATGGTGAGTTTTCAGCATTATTACCTTTGCTTTTAATATAGTTTATTTAATTTTAGGTGTATGTAGTTTAATTTTAAATAATGGCTGTGTTTAACAACGGGCTCGTAAACTTCCTAAAAAATAAACAATCAGGACTCCTTGACAAAGGACCCTGGTACACAGCCAAAAATGTATGCTGTTAATCTTTCTCCCGGACTTCCCCAAAAGGACTTAAACTTTTTTCCAGGTGTCCGTGCACTAGGGAAAAGGAGCTCGTCAGACTTTTCCAGTTTTACCCGGCACTGACCGTGAACTGGCCCAGGAGACCCAAACATCACCGCGGTCCCCCAGGCAGGGCAAGGGCTCACGGAGACCAGGTGGTCCACGAAGGTTCAGCGCAGGTTCGTCTCACGGTAGCCCCGGCAGGGCCCTGAACCGTCTATGGCCCCGACCAGTTCTAGAGGGCGTAGTTGGGAGAGGCTCCCTCGGCCCCAGCAGGTTCCCCGCCCTGGCTCTCTGAGAGTGCAGCGGCCCCAGCACGCCCGCCCCAGGCTCAGGCCTCGGTCCCCTTCTCCTCTCTGTCTGCACCCATCCCCTTGCGGATCCCCACCTGCCACGTGGACGTGCTCCGAACTCCCAGACCTCCGTCCCCACTTCCCAGACCTCAACCCGTCTGCGGAGTGTCTTCCTGGGTGGGTGGCAGGCATGTTAAATCCCCATGTCCACAGCCAGACTCCTGCTTCCGAGTTGCCCCCCAGCCTGCCCCTGCCAGCCCTCCCAGCCTGCCCCTGCCAGCCCTCCTAGCCTGCCCCTGCCAGCCCTCCCAGCTCCATCCTCAGCTCTGTCCTCCCCTCCCCGGCTTCCCGACACTCCTCCCTCGGCGAGTCCCTTCCGCTCCACCATCACGATGAGCCAGATGCTGTCTGCTCTCACTCCACCAGGGCTCACACCCTGTCCAAGCCACCCATTTCCCTCATGGATTTTTACAACAGGCTGGTCTCCCTGCATCCTCTCCCCGCGCCCACCCCACAGTCCGTCCTCAACACGACAGCCAGAGGGACCTTTTAAAACAAAAGTCAGAGCCTGTGCGGTCTGCCAGCCACCTTCCTGACCTCCCGCACCCCTCAGGCTCGGCTCCTGGCTCTTCTGCAGCATGCAGCTCTCTTGATCTGGAATGTTCCTCTCACAGATACCTGCTGTGTGCCCAGTCTCTCTTGACTGCCCCGTGGCAAACAGCATGCCGTGAGTGACACCGTGAACCCACTGCTCTCTGACCCCAGCCTCGTTCCAACCTGAGGCACTGGTCACCCGACAGATCGTGGCCCTGCTTGTCACACGTCTCCCCCTCTAGAATGGAGGGACGTTTCTGTTTTATTCTCTCCCAATGCTGTCACCTCCGCATCCAGCTCAGCACCGGGTGTAGACCAGGAGCACAATACACACCTGGGGATGAGGATGTGGCAGCTCGGAACCACAGAGTGGCTTTCTCAGGGCTGCCCTGCCGGGAGGCAGCTGAGCTGGCATTTGAATGCAGCCCGCCTGGCCCCAGAGCCCCGGCCCATGCGCCCTGAGAGCAAGTGGCCTGAGCCCAGGGCGCCCGGCTTGTGGCAGAAGCGTTTCCAATTCACGGGACACCCCTGCCCCACCTTGCTCAGAGACGGCCACCACCAGACGCAGCCCCTTCAAGGGGCGGAGGGCTCTGTAGAGCCAATCCCAGCTTTAGCCGAAAGGTGACATCTGCAAGTCACAGTCTGGCCCCAAAACCCCCTATGCGGAGCCTTGGTAGAAAATAATAACAACAATCACAACAATGAAAGAAGGACAGCAAAGACAGGGATGGTCCCCCCGGGCTGTCGGGACCTTGTGAGCCCAGCACGGCTTCCCGCAGTTGGATCTGGCCCTTCCCACCCCAAACTGGCTCAGTAGCTCGTGCCTCCCTCACCCCTCTCTGGGGCAGGCGCTGGGCTCCTGGTCCCAGCCCCTCGCTCCCCTGCAGGTGCCGGGGGAGTGGGAGGCACCCAGGGGGCGGGCCTTGGGGGAAAGGTGGCTTCCTGCAGACCGCACCTTCCCATCTCCTCACCTGGCCTCTGGGCGGGGCCTGTTCTAGTCCCAGCCCCACCTGCTGCCTTCAAGTCTCAGCCCTGTCACCCCATCCAGGTTGGCCTCAGCGGCTGGTGCCACAGCAGGACCTTTGAAACTACCAGGAAGAGCCAAGGTAGGGGGCTGCTGCTTCTCGC